TCGTTTACCTCCATCTGCTGTCGGCGAAGGCAGTGCAATGCGCGGTGCACATGCTCCTGTCCCCAGTGTAGATCTGCGTCGCTAATTTCCCGAACAAGTTCCGTGCGGATCCAGCCCACCTCGTCCAGCCATCGGTCGTCCAGCCTCCATGGTTGCACGTCCGGGCTAGGCGCTGTCAGGATACTTCGTCTCCCCTGAGCTGTCCCACTCTCGGATCTCTAATTCGGTGACAGCAAGTCACTGGCTGATTCGGTCGCCGGTCGTCGCTCACGTTCGGGACTCGCTTGGCTCACACGGCTAGCGTGGCTCCGATGCGTATCACTTCTTGCTGTTCCGCTAGGTCGGGAGAGCATCTCCCTCAACCCAGCGGAGTTCTCGGACCGGTTGCCCGATTCACTACGGTGCATCTGTTGACGTACAGCAGCTTCCCGCCGCTCTGCCATTCTCGACCTCTCATCAGCTGGAGGCGAGCGCGGCGCAGCTAGTTTACGCATTACAACCTGCGGATTCTTTTTAGGCTCCGACCCGTGCTTCTCCTCACCAGTTTTCGGTCGGTCGGCGCGCTGTCAATGTAGCGCTTCTCCCTCCAGTCTTCCCCTTCTCCTTCGTCGCCCCGCTCTTTGCTTTCGGGTCTCCCTGCGACGACTCGTCGGCATCTCGGATCACTTGCTTCCCCATAACTGCAGGTAGTTCGGGGTCGCCTACCGCGTAGCCTTTTGCCTCCCCCCTGTACTCTGTCATAAAGCCGGGTCTCACCTGCCACTGCTTCTCTCCCTCTCGCTGATAACCGCTGGGTTTTTGGAGTGTATGCCTGTGCTGTTACAGGGTATTACCCTGTATGTTATTACCGTATGCCCTCTGACCTTAAACTGCCTTGGCCTGGGTTAACAATGCATCGTACCCGCCCTGTGCTGAGATTTTCGCGTTTTTACCGCTTAGTCACCTATTACACAAAATGTTTTTTGGCAGGTTTTAACTAGCTATAAAATTTATTTATAATTAGTGGCTAGTACAAATATAGATAATCAACTTACTCTCAGACATCGAAACAACACCGGAATCTATCACAGGGTGATGGTACAAATCAAACACCACTTTCAGACATAAAAAACAACTTCACAAAACACGGCGCAAATCGCCCCTTTGGCGAGGTGGCACTCCAAACATTACCCCCTCAGTCCCAAAAACTGCCCAAAATAACGTTCCAAAACAACATAATAGGTATTGTTTAATTATGTCATCTACTACTGAATTGCTAAGGTAATAGCCCTCAATCTATAGGAGAACATAGTAAAAACGGTTCCAATTTTTTTTTTAATTTTTTTTTTTTTTTTTTGGCCACGAGTATACTCGTGTTTCGCGGAGCCGTGCCGTTTTGCAGGTTCGAACCAAGTAATACTCGTGGTTTCGCGTTGACGTGATTTAAGATACGGAAGATGACATAAACCTGGTCTTCTCTGTGGAGGACAGAGAGTTTCTCCACATTATGGAAAAGTCGATGTTCAGAGAGGAACATGGGAATCTTGTTGCTCCACTACCTTTTCGGAACCCTAAGCCGAGCTCCCCAACAATAGACCCCAAGCTATGAAGCGCGCTGGACACTGGATGCTAGCCTTCGCAAAGACCGCTGTGAAGCGACAACACTTTGTGGCGTTCATGGGCAAGTTACTAGACAGGGTCATGCGGAAAGTAGGCACACCAATTAGATGGTGGAGAGAGTGTTGGTATTTACCGCTCTTTGGCGTATACCACCCCAAGAAACCTGGCCAAATTAGGGGGGTATTTTGATTCATCAGCCCAGTATGAAGGTGTTTCTCTCAATGACGTACTGCTTACTGGGCTGACTTGGTGAACAGTCTTTTGGGGATTTTGCTCCGATTCCGCCAACATTCCGTTGCTGTATCGTCCGACATAGAGCAGATGTTCTATCTGCTTCAAGGTAACAGGAAGATCCAGGAAACTTACCTGCGGTTCCTGTGGTACAAGACAACAACCCGGAAGGAATTGATCGAGTATAGGATGGGTGTCCATGTTTTGAATGCATGTTTGCCCTCTCCTGCTGTTGCTACCTATGGACTGCGAAAGGTGGCACAGGCAGGTGAGGAGGTGTTTGGTGCAGACGTAAAAGAGTTCGTTACGAAGAACTTTCTACATCGACGATGGACTCGGTGTCACTGGCATCTGTAAGGAAGCAGTCGATCTGATCAAAGAAACCCAGGGTGCTCTGATGTTCAGGAAGGAAACATACGTCTACATAAAATTTCTTTCCAACAACAAGGAAGTGATGAAAGCCTTTCTTCGCTCAGGATCTGGCCAAGGACCTGAAGGACTTAGACCTGGGCAACGACCTGCTACCCTTACACGAAGTTTAGGGTTGGTATGGGACCTGGAGACAGATTCATTTACATTCCGAGTGTCAGAGGAGGAGAAACCATACACGCGAAGGGGCGTGTTGTCCCACAGTAAATAGCCTTATATGATCCACTCGGATTTGTTGCCCTGTAAGTAATTCAGGGTAAACTTCTACTTAGAGCATTGTGTGCCGAGACGCAGATTGGACGACCGTTACCGAGTGCAGTGCAAGAGGAGACTGGAGAGGTGGAGAGACTCCTGAAGTCTCTGGAAGACTTGCAATATCCGACGTACATATGTGGGATTTACATTTAAAGGTGGCACCAGGAAAGAAATCCACATATTCTCAGATGCATCGGAGAGCGCCATTGAGCAGTGGTACCTGAAGTGTTCGATTTCATCTGGAAAGGAGCAGATAGGGTTCCATCATGGGCAAGAGGCAAGGTTGCGCCTAAAAGCGGCCACACCATACCAAGACTGGAAATTATGTGCGGCAGTTCTGGCCACAGAATCATCCAGACTCAAAAAGATGAATTGGAAATGACTCCATGATGCTGTCAGGTTCTATACTGACAGCCAAGGTGTTTTTAGGCTACATTAACAATCGTTCTCCGACGTTTTTCATGTATGTAGCAAACAGGGTGGCCCAGATTAGGAGGTGGTCTAACCCGAGGCAGTGGAGTTATGTAGCGGACAGAGATAACCCGGCTGATTGTGCTACAAGGTGTCTGTCTCCAGAGAAGCTGAATGAGAGTTTGTGGCTTCGGGCCGACTTTCGTTGCAATAAGTGACAGTAACGACGAGGTCAATGGAGCATGAACTGGTTGACCAGAGGACAAGGAGGTAAGACCAGAAATTGTTCTATGGCGACAAAGTCGAGACCCCATTTTGGCTACAGAAGGCTCGCAGTTCTCCTGGGAAGAGATTCGTGAAGGCAATCGCAGCTTCTCAGATGCGTTGTACGTAACGTCGAGGTGACGGTGTATGTGGAAGCGACGACGTGGCGGTCGAATCGGAAAATGTGAAGAGTTACAGGGACACAGAACAATTCATCCTCAGAGAGGTTCAGAAAGAAGCGTACTCCAAGGAATTGCAATGCATTAGGGGAGAGGAAAACCATTACCCAATGACAGCTCTATCCTGAAACTGAATCCGCGTCATTGGCATGTGACGGTTTGCTCAGGTAGGCGGTCGTATCGGGAGAGCAGATGTTACCTTCAGGAGAATCCCGAATCTGGTGCCCGCGACTAACGATCGTATGTAGCATGAATAGCTGCAGGACACTTCGAGTGTGCGATGAGCTTGGTTGGGGAGGAACGAGGCTTATTTCTTGGATCATCCTATCAGTGTGTAGGTGCCGTAAACTGGCGTGGGAGGAGGAGGACAAAAAGGATGGGTCCGACCGCCGGCGATAGACTGCACCCCAGGACGACCTTTACACAATGTTGGCGTGGACATCGTTTGGTCCCTGGCACGTCACTAGCACGGCGCGCACTCGAGGAGGTCAGCGAATGCCAAACGCTGGGCAATATTGTTCACATGTCTGGTGACTAGAGCGATTCACATAGAGGTGGTCGAAGGAGACTGGGAGCATCTAGTTCAACTAACGGCAGTCCGTAAGATTCATTTCTATACGAGGGAAAGTTTTCTGTCTCAGATCAGACGGAGCACCAACCAGAGTCGAACGCGTAAGTCACATTAGTCGAGATGGAGCTGTGAAGACCTTTGTGTTCGATTCTGGAGGCAGCTATGCTTTTCAACCCCCTCACTCTTCTCACATGGGAGGAGGCTGTGGGAACGTATGATTGGTGCACACGTCGAATTCTGGATTCCCATGCTAGGTGAGGCTGTGACTAAGAATTCACACATGAGGTTTTTACAACGTTGATGGCAGAAGTGTGTGGCGATATAACGCGAGACCGTCTGGTCCCGGTGTCTACCGACCCAGATTCTCGCCACACATTCTTTCACCATCTACTTTGCTTAGCACAACAGATGGATCACTGTGGGACGCTATCCAAGTTTGTGAAACGCAAGACATGTTCAAGCACGTGGAAACGAGTACAGAGTTTTGCTGACTTGTTTGATCAAGGGGAGGCGTGAGTACCTCAACCCCTCCAGGAGCCGTCGAAAGTGGCAGACCGGAACGGCCTAAACATACAGAACAGGTGATGTGCATTCCTCTTAAACCAGAAACACGGCATCAGGAACGAGTGGCCTATGGGTTCGTCGACAAACGTGATTCCTGGTCGAGATCGGATTGGTCCGCAAAGCGTAAAGTTCGAGTCTTTAAGGAGTGGGCAAGGGGGTTTGTATATACTCGACCAGTTACGGAACTGGTTGTTTGTGTTCCAGCAGAGAGTACTGTATGACTGATTGATTAGATATATTCATAGTCCATAGTCATGGTGAATAGCGAGTTGAATTAGGGTTAACATGTTTATAATACCCATATCTGTCCAGTTCTGTCGGATCCAATCTTGAAGTTGTTCGCGCACCATGGCTTCAATACGGATGCTGCAGGTATTCCAGTATTGACCACGTCGCCAGACTAAAGAAGTTTGTGCTCACTATATTTATATATACTGATATATTAATATAAAGATAATATAGTATACTGTATTTATTTGCTTATTTTACATGGTGATATGAAACGATATCAGACGGGAGCAAAGGCTGATGCTGCTCGTGCGAAGGCGGACTACGCGCATAAAGAAGCAGAGATAAGGAGACGTCAACTCAAGATAAAAGAAGAAACAGACCTGCTGCAGGTCGATCTTGATGTGTTACGCAGTGAGAAGGAGGCAGCAATAGCGGAGGCCGAAGCTAAGGCACACGAGACATTTACTGGTAGTCAAGACAACCTCTCCGAAACTTCCAGACCCCGAATGGGCATCAATGTGGAGTTTCAGAGCAGTGCTGAGCGCACCATGAGATATGCAGCAGAACACGATGCTTCTGCTATTCAGAAGGAGAGAGACACGCTGGACAAGATACCTATGTTGCAGGCACAGTCGAAGCCAGAGAACTACAACGTAGTGACATCTGATATATTTCGTCCAGAGGAACATCGTACCAGATTGAGCTCCAGAGCGACTGAATTTCATCCGAGGGGTATCCAGCCTGACATCTCCGCAAATGTGACAGAGTCACCAAACGCTGTGCACACGGCTACAGACCTTACACGTCTTTTGTTAAAGAAGGAACTTTTGGGTTCACGTTTGATTAATTACAATGATCGTCCGGAGTCTTATGCCTCTTGGAAAATGACTTTTAGGAACGTCACACAAGAGTTACAGGTAACTGCTATAGAAGAGCTCGACCTCCTTGTTAGGTGGCTAGGTCCTGAATCCTCGGGGCAGGCACAGAGTCTGAGAGCGGCAAGTCCCTTGAACCCCGGAAGAGGCCTTCAGCGTGTGTGGGAGAGACTGGATGATAGGTACGGTGCTCCCGAGAAAGTGGAAGCGGCCCTAAAATGGCGACTTGAGAGCTTCTCAAGGATTACAGGCAGGGACAATAAAAAACTGTATGAACTCTCTGATATTCTGGCAGAGATCGAGGCAGTGAAAGAAGATCCGCAATATCAGGCAGTCATGGCATATTTTGACTCATCATCCGGGATCAATCCTATAGTAAATCGACTCCCATACGGGATGCAGGAGAAATGGACAACGTCGGCACAGAACTATAAAAGGAAATATGGCGTCACCTTTCCACCATTTTCTCATTTTGTGGAATTTATTCGAGAAATCGCACGTGTGAAGAACGATCCCAGTTTCCTGTTTGAGAGTTCTGACGCCACAACAGGCAGAAAGGACAAGAACGCAATGAGGATCTTTCAGTCTGACATGAGACCCTTGACAACCAGGAAAGTGGAGATCTCCGATGACAAAGTCGAGGTTGACCCTGAAAGGCTTTGCCCGATTCACAAATTGAGGCATACCCTCAACCAGTGCAGGAGCTTTAAACGCAAGCCGATACATGAACGGAGGAAACTCTTAAGGGAGTTTGGCATCTGCTTCAAGTGCTGTGCTTCCTCTAAACATGCCTTTCGCAATTGTAAGGAAGCTGTTGAATGCGAGGATTGCGGGAGCAAAGAGCATGCGACGGCCCTACATGTCTGGTCAAACATGTCTACATGTCTACATACATCAGGGTCGCATGGACGTCAGCCAACTCATGGCGGGGAGTATGGCGGTCAGATACGTACAAAGTGTACTCAGATTTGTGGGCCAGGGTTCGTTGGAAAGTCGTGTGCCAAGACACTGCTTGTAAGTGTACACCCCCAGGGACACCCGGAAATGGCAGTTAGAACGTATGCTGTGATAGATGATCAGAGCAATAGATCATTAGGGAAGTCCGAATTGTTTGATCGACTGCACATTGATTGTGGCAAGACCGCATACACTCTGTCGACATGTGCTGGTCAGGTTGAGGTATCGGGTAGGAGGGCGAATAACATAATCATTAAATCACTGGACGGAACTTCACAACTGACTCTCCATACCATGATAGAGTGTGATGAGATTCCGGACGCACGTGAGGAAATTGCCACACCTGAGGTAGCGATGCATCATGCTCACCTTTGTGACATAGCAAAGCATCTCCCTCCTATAGACGGCAATGCCAGTATCCTTCTTTTGATTGGTAGGGATCTCATAGAAGCTCACCACATACTCGAGCAGCGTACAGGCCCACCCTCATCTCCATATGCCCACCGACTGCGTCTAGGCTGGGTGATAGTCGGAGAAGCATGTCTAGGCAAAGTACATAGGTCAGAATTTATCTCAGTAAGGAAGACCTATCTCCTGCCCAATGGACGCACCACCATTCTTGCGCCATGCACCAGTACTCTCAAAGTGAAAGAGACGTTCAAGGATCGCGAGCTTGGGGTTGACATGAGTGATGATCCGACATCGATCTTCTTAACACGTTCAACGCCTTGGCCTGGGTTAACAATGCATCTACCCGCCCTGTGCTGAGATTTTCGCGTTTTTACTCGTCTTAGTCACCTATTACACAAAATGTTTTTGGCAGGTTTAACTAGCTATAAAATTTATTTATAATTAAGTGGCTAGTACAAGATATAGATAATAACTTACTCTCAGACAATCGAAACAACACCGGAATCTATCACAGGGTGATGTATCAAATCAAACACCACTTTCAGACATAAAAAACAACTTCACAAAACACGGCGGTCAAACGCCCCTTTGGCGAGGTGGCACTCAAACATTACCTCAGTCCAAAAACTCCCAAAATAACGTTCCAAAAAACAACAGTAAAGGTATTGTTTAAATTATGTCATCTACTACTGAATTGCTAAGCGTATAGCCCCTGCCATCTATAGGAGAACATAGTAAACGTTCCAATTTTTTTTTAATTTTTTTTTTTTTTTTTTTGGCCACGAGGTATACTCGTTGTTTCGCGGCCAGTGCGGCGTTTTGCAGGTTTCGAACAAGTATACTCGTGTTTCGCGTTGAACGTGTTAAGAACGGAAGATGACGATAAACCTGGTCTCTCTGTGGAGGACAGAGAGTTTCTCCACATTATGGAAAAGTCGATGTTCAGAGAGGAACATGGGAATCTTGTTGCTCCACTACCTTTTCGGAACCCTAAGCCGAGGCTCCCCAACAATAGACCCCAAGCTATGAAGCCGCTGGACACTAATGCTAGCCTTCGCAAAGACCGCTGTGAAGCGACAACACTTTGTGGCGTTCATGGGCAAGTTACTAGACAGGGTCATGCGAAAGTAGCACACCAATTAGATGGTGGAGAGAGTGTTGGTATTTACCGCTCTTTGGCGTATACCACCCCAAGAAACCTGGCCAAATTAGGGGGGTATTTGATTCATCAGCCCAGTATGAAGGTGTTTCTCTCAATGACGTACTGCTTACTGGGCCTGACTTGGTGAACAGTCTTTTGGGGATTTTGCTCCGATTCCGCCAACATTCCGTTGCTGTATCGTCCGACAATGAGCAGATGTTCTACTGCTTCAAGGTAACAGAAGATCACAGAAACTACCTGCGGTTCCTGTGGTACAAGGACAACAACCCCGAGAAGGAATTGATCGAGTATAGGATGGGTGTCCATGTTTTTGGAAACAGTCCCTCTCCTGCTGTTGCTACCTATGGACTGCGAAAGGTGGCACAGGCAGGTGAGGAGGTGTTTGGTGCAGACGTAAAAGAGTTCGTTACGAAGAACTTCTACATCGACGATGGACTCGTGTCACTGGCATCTAGTAAGGAAGCAGTCGATCTGATCAAGAGAACCCAGGGTTCAGGAGGAAACATACGTCTACATAAAATTTCTTCCAACAACAAGGAAGTGATGAAAGCCTTTCTTCCTCAGGATCTGGCCAAGGACCTGAAGGACTTAGACCTGGGCAACGACCTGCTACCCTTACAACGAAGTTTAGGGTTGGTATGGGACCTGGAGACAGATTCATTTACATTCCGAGTGTCAGAGGAGGAGAAACCATACACGCGAAGGGGCGTGTTGTCCACGGTAAATAGCCTATATGATCCACTCGGATTTGTTGCCCCTGTAGTAATTCAGGGTAAACTTCTACTTAGAGCATTGTGTGCCGAGACGCAAGATTGGGACGACCCATTACCAGTGCAGTACAGAGGAGACTGGGAGAGGTGGAGAGACTCCCTGAAGTCTCTGGAAGACTTGCATATCCGACGTACATATGTGGATTTACCATTTAAAGGTGGCACCAGGAAAGAAATCCACATATTCTCAGATGCATCGGAGAGCGCCATTGCAGCAGTGGTGTACCTGAAGTGTTCGGATTCATCTGGAAAGGAGCAGATAGGGTTCATCATTGGCAAGAGCAAGGTTGCGCCTAAAAGCGGCCACACCATACCAAGACTGGAATTATGTGCGGCAGTTCTGGCCACAGAACTATCCAGACTCACACTAGATGAATTGGAATTCACTCCTGATGCTGTCAGGTTCTATACTGACAGCAAGGTGGTTTTAGGCTACATTAACAATCGTTCTCGACGTTTTTACATGTATGTAGCAAACAGGGTGGCCCAGATTAGGAGGTGGTCTAACCCCGAGCAGTGGAGTTATGTACGGACAGAGATGAACCCGGCTGATTGTGCTACAAGGTGTCTGTCTCCAGAGAAGCTGAATGAGAGTTTGTGGCTCTCGGGGCCGACTTTCGTTGGCAATAGTGACAGTAACGACGAGGTCATGGAGCATGAACTGGTTGACCCAGAGGACAAGGAGGTAAGACCAGAAATTGTTGCTATGGCGACCAAAGTCGGAGACCCATTTTGGCTACAGAAGGCTCGCAAGTTCTCCTCGTGGAAGAGATTCGTGAAGGCAATCGCACTTCTCAGATGCGTTGTACGTAACCGTCGAGGTGACGGTGTATGTGGAAGCGACGACGTGCGGTCGGAATCGAAAACTGTGAAGAGTTACAGGGACACAGAACAATTTATCCTCAGAGAGGTTCAGAAAGAAGCGTACTCCAAGGAATTGCAATGCATTAGGGAGAGGAAACCATTACCCAATGACAGCTCTATTCTGAAACTGAATCCTTTCGATGTTTGGCAGTGAGGTTTGCTCAGGGGTAGGGTGGTCGTATCGGGAGAGCAGATGTTACTCTTAGGAGAAGAATCGCTGTAGTAATTCCTGGGTCGACATCACGTCTCGACACTACTGATCCGTATGTACCGATTGGATGAACATCCAGGCATCAGAGGAAGGACACTTCACAGAGGGTGCTGAGGAAGTGGCCGGACTGTTGGTGTTTCCGTGTGCCGAGCAAAGAGGCTTATTTTGATCAGTGCTATCAGTGTTGATTTAGGCAGCGAATTGTGCTTGTTAAACTGCGTGGGAGGCAGGAGTGAGTTACAAAAGATGGCCGACCGTGCCGGGGGCTTAGACGGTGCGACGCCGAGGGGCAGGGTCCTGTTGTACTCAACTGTTTGGACTCGGGTGGGACCGTTTGATCGTCGGCTGCACGGGATTCACTGCACGGCGCACTCGGAGAAGGTCAAGCACATTTGGCAACGTTCGGGCAATATTGGTGTCACAGGTTGTCTGTCAGTGACGTGTAGAGCGATTCACATAGACGGTTGGCGGAAGAGGGATGCGTGAAGCATCTAGCTTTCAGTCAACGGCATGATTCCGGTAGATTCGATTTTCTATACGAACCAACCGGGCGAATTTTCTGGTCCTTCAGATCAGATCGACTCCTAGATCCGGGCGCGGCATCCAACCTCTCTACGATCGGAGCGACTGCCACGGCCCTTGACAATGGCTCGACCGGAGGCGATGGAGAGCTGTGGGAAGGACTCGGTAGTTCGATTCTGGAGACAGTATGCTTTTTCAAACCCCACTAGACTCTTCTCACATGGAGGAGTGGTCGGGACGCTTAATGGATTGGTCTAGTGTCACACGCGAATTTCTGGGATTCGCTGCTTTAGGTGAGGCGTCGTCGAAGTAAGATCTCACAGCAGTGAGGTTCTTACATACGTTGGGATGGCAAACAGTGTCACCCCGGCCAGTTTGAGAAGTCCGTGTGCCGAGTAGGACCTCACGCGGAGACCTCTGGTCCCGTTGGTCTACGACCAGATTCACCACACATTCCTTTCAACCATCTATATTTGTGCTCTTACACAAAGCTTGCTGTGTGATCCATGCTTCGGCGACCTATCCAAAGTTTTGTGAACACCGCAAGGACGATCGGTCAAAGCACGAGTGGGAAACGAGCTACAAGTTTGTTGGGCTTAAACTGGCAGTTCGGATGGGATCATGGTGGACTGGGCTTGAGCGTCCGTTAAACGACCCGTGCCAGTCAGCCGCGTCCGAAAGTGAGCAGGGACGGACGGTACCCTAACATTTACAGAAACGGTGATTGTGATTCTCTTAAAAGAGAAAACAGCGCATCAGGAAACGCGTCAGTGGCCAGATGGTTATCGTCGACAAGCGTGATTCTCGGGTCGCAGACGGGATTGGTCCGCCACCAAAGCGGCAAATTTCGACGTCTTTTAAGCGGCAGGGGCTAATGGGGTTGTATATACTCGACCAGTGAACGGAAACTGAGTCGTGTGGTTTGGTGTTCAGCAGGAGAGTAACTGTTAATGACTGATTGATTAGATTTATTATCACTAGTCATGTCAATGCTGGGTTTAAGCGACGCTTGATTAGGTGTCTTAACTGCTTTAATACCCATATCTGTCCAGTCTCTGTCGGTATCAAATTCTTGAAAGTTCCGTTCGCCATCATGGCCCTTCAATTTACGGATTGCTGGGAGATTATTCCATGTATGATCACGACCCAGACTATAAGAGTTTGGTCTCAACGTATATTGTTTATTTATATGATATATATATATAACATATATAGTATACTGTCATTTATTTATATCTTTACATCGGGTTGCATATGAAAGATATCAGACGGCGTGTCAGTAGTGGTGGCTGGTTACAGGTCATGTCACCCTGTATTGTTATTTACCGCCTACTGCTTCTTGACCTTAAACTACCGTGGAGGCTTTGCTTTTGTTTTTCGCTATTGGGCCATTTCTTGTTCGTTTGATTTAGCTTTGGCGGCTGATTCTCTATGTAAAGCTTGTTTTACCACAATGTAAGTACGTCAGATAAGTCAATTGTGGACAGAAGCTGTCTCATAAAGACACTGCTTATTTATGTAGCCAGTACACTACTGTTTTGCAAGATTTTTTACAGTATATATCGATGCAACTGAAGTTAGCTTTATGTGCAAGTATCTGAAGCATGTCCGGCCCATCTGTGACAGTATTCTCTATTTTTATGTTGTAGTATTTTCACCATTTGGTCAAGTGGTCACATTAAAAACAGACGGTTTAGCTGACTGCTATTTATACATATACTAGATGTTCCATGTTATTTTTGAAGAGGCAGTACAATGCCTTAAGTGCGCTCGCATCCGGTACTAGACGTGTGCAGCACACGTGTACGTGCAACTCCTGAATGGACAGTGTACCCGCGGTTCAAGGATAGAGATGATGTCCAGATTGAGACCTATGTCATTTTCGTAAATGTGGGGGTAGCCCCTTTAAAATCGACAGGGGTGTTGTTGAAGGTGTTGTTTCTTCATTTCGACCGAGAAACATTATGTCAGTTCACAGCAAGTGTGGAAAAAACTCTGTTTAAGCGACACTACTCGCCGCGAGAATTTCCCGTCATCTTCCTGTGCTACGGCCCTCAAATCTATCTGCGTATTTGCGCGCGGCATTTACGGACTGATACTACTTGCTCTCCGCATTAAATTACCTGGAAATCCGTTGATATTCCTTGGTTTTTTGGAACGTCATAAATGAAATAAGAAATGGTACGCCATTTCTGTTGACTAGGGTCCCTACTGCCCTCTCGCGGCCATCTGGTGATGTATATGAATTCGCCCCCGCCCCCTCTTCCAGCTCCCGCTGGCTGCGCACGTCTGAGTGTCGCTGGGGGCGCGTAAATACGCAGTGTACGGGGGGTGCATACAGTGGTGATAGCCTGCGCGGTATATATACAGCGTTATATATCCAACAAGATAAGGCCAGCGTATATTATACAACCAAGATATGATAAAACCCACGCGAACGCCCATTCTTCCAGTTGTCTATGTGTCGATGTGCGCCCGCCGAGACGAGGAATAAGACGAAGGCTCAGGCTGTGGTTCGACCAGCCATTTTATTTTCTACGCATCTATCAACGCGTGACATGGCGTAATGATGGTAAAATGGCTGGTCGAACCACAGCCTGAGCCTTCGTCTTATTCCTCGTCTCGGCGGGCGCACATCACAGTAAAAAAACGCTGAAGCCTTTCCTCGAACACGTCCCGGGCCTCACATCAAATTTACATTGACAGATAACCAGTACCCATTTTCCGGGGTTCAAAGCGGTTGGACGGGGTTAAGCAGGAGCACCTGAAAGGCACCCGCTCCGCACAGACACCGCCACGAGAAGAACGCGAAATCAGTTGGCCTGAACCAGCCGGACGTCCGGTAGCCGGAGCTACCAGAAAATGCGGATCGCGCAAAATGCGGAGCAACTAGTGTAACCAGCACAAACATTTATCGCTGGAGATAACACTCCCCCCACAGAATGGCATAACAAAGTCAGCTACAAAGCAAAAACACCAAAAAATTACACGAGAAAAACTTAATACTACATGCGTGCGACGCCAGGCGAACGGGAGGTCCAAGATGGTTATCTACCGCTCCGGGTGCCTCTCTTCCCAGCACCTGTGCGGCGACCACGCCGCCCTCGCCTGGTGGAATCTGGCCTCCCGCGCCGCCTCTCGCTCCGCTTGCCGCCTGCTGCTAATCTCCTTGGGCCAATGACCCCACCTGGTCGCCCTCCTTGCCTGGTCGCCGAGCTTGCCGGCCGCTCTCACTCTCCTCCCCTCCGCTGATCGTCTCTCCTTCTCTCGGCCCCAACTCCAGATCCATGGCCCCCTACGTAAACAGACCAAAATCAACCAAAGCAACCAAACAAACAAACAAAAAATCCACCGCGATGAGTCGATGATCTCTGGCGGCCGCCTAAACAAAACAAAATAAACTAAACAAAACAAAACAAAACAATGGGCCCCCTCTCTACAAATCCATTCTCTGGGGTGGTTTACGGGCTCTTGTCCCCCGCCTTAGACCAAGATCTGCTTCATAGGTCTGTTCTGTCACTTCCTCCTCTTCTACGGCCGGTTCCTGAAATAATATCCCCCACGGAATTTCCTCCTCATCATCAACGCCTTCCTCGCCGTGGTCTGTGGGCTCCCTCTGCTCTTCTTTCGGGGTTTTTCGGCAATCTTCCAGTGGTTGCTCCGTTTTATAGGGCTTTAAGTAGTCGATGTGCACCACTTTTCTTCTTGCCCGTGGCTCCCGCTGTATGACGTAGAGTAGGTCACTCACCTTCCGGATGATTAGGTATGGCCCCTGCCAGCCATGTCCCAGCTTTCTCCGAACCGCCGGCGGGTACCAATACCATGCGAACTCTCCCTCTCGGAAGGTAATCGGCCTAACCCCTCTATCGTACGCCCGTTTCTGTCGTTTCGCCGCTTGTTTCAATGTTGTCTCGCAAAGTCGTAGGCTTCCCCCATGACGTCCTGAATCCATTGCACGTACTCATGCGGACACTTCCCCTGGCACCTGGCGGTGATCCTACCATCTCCCTTCCGAACATCATTAGATTTGGTGAACATCCGGTAGATGCTTGTGCGGTTGCTCGGTAAGCCATCGCGACGAATGGTAGATGATCATCCCAGTCGTCCCTGTTTTGATTAACAAATAAAGATAGCATTTGTTGAAGCGTTCTATTGTATCGTTCTACTAATCCGTCGGACATAAGATGATAAGGTGTTGTTCTTGTTTTATCTATTGGCATGATCTCACAGACTCCCTGAAATAGACTAGATTCAAAATCGGGTCCCTGATCGTTGTGGATTTTGTACGGAACCCCGTATCGGTGGATGTATTCTGTCACCAAGACGTCTGCTACCGTATACGCCTCCTGATTCGGCAGAGCAAAGCACTCCGTCCACTTTGTAAAATAGTCGCATACCACCATGATCACCTTATTCCCTCTCTCTGTTTCTTCTAGCACCATCCCATGATGTCGATGGCGATCCGTTCGAATGGAGCGCCTACTTCCGACTGTTTTAACCTTCCCCTTTTCAACCCTTTTCCAGGCTTTCTCCGTGCACAGACCGTGCAGTACTGGCACCATCTCTTGATATCTTTCGTGTAGTGTGGCCAGTAGAACCGTTGCTGAATGGTGGATCTACTCCGCTTCTCTCCTTGATGTCCTGCTGTACAATGGTAATGTGGTTGCTGAAATATTTCTCTTTGTAATTTCTTAGGTATTACCAACTAAAGTATGGGATGTGTGAGTCGGCGTGACCGGCGTCTCCCATCGTCTGTACAATTTACCTTCCTGTACCTCTAACTGACTCCACTGCCCCCAGTACGCTTTCGCCTCCGACCCCATTCCTGCAATCTCTGCAAACTCAGGTCTGTCCAACGCCGCTTCTTTCCGTTCCTTGAAGAAAACAATTACAGGGTCCTTATCCTGTAATCTCCTAATATTTTCCGGGTTCCATACATCATCGTCTTCCCCTGATCCTCGGGATTCTCTCTGCGATCCTCTCGCTTTCCCTCGGCCACTACTAACACCTGCCCACGCTGCTCCTTATCCTCACATGGAGAACCGTCTCTCCTCCCATTACGGATGGGTGGTTCATATCTCCATGTAGAATCCTCTGCTCCCCTACTGCAGCTGGGTGGTTCCTCGCTACTCCTCTCCTCGTCTTCTTCCTCCTGAACGTGCGTTTCCTCTTCCCCTGATTGCATCTCCATCGCTGGTCGGGCATCCGCTCCCATCATTCCATGCCTGCTATCTGGGCAGTTCTCGTTCGGGCATTTCCCCAGTGTCTTACGTGACAACGCATCCGCATTCTGGTGATGCTGTCCCTGCTGTGTTTCACTATCCTCCACTGGTTTGAGTTCCCCCACTTGCTGATCCTCCAACAACAGGGTAGGCTTCTCTCCTGTGTGGGAGATAACCAACGGTACCTTCATCACATCCCTTGGGAGTACCGTCTGCTCCATCCGAATCCCCTGTGCCTCCAGCTTCTGAAATTCATCCACGTATACTGGTCTACCATTCTCTCCTCCTGTCCAAAATCCTTGAATTTCTTTCCCGTCAAGTGATAGCATTCCTGTAGTCATGTTCAGGATAGCATTGTTTGGGACGAGAAAGTCGAGTCCCAAAATCCCATCTAAATCCTCTAATTGTGCTATAACCATTGTTTTTCTATTGTAGGTATGATCGGCGATTTCTAGACGGACAACAGTCTCTCCAGGACTATCCATTGCTTCGCCTTTCGCCATCTTCAGATCCCTCTTTCTTGTTATCAGCTGTAGCCCTGCACTTGCTTTGATGTCGTTGAATTATATTCATTTATCAGCGTTGTACTCGATCCGCTGTCTATTAAAAATTTCATGTCACATCCCTCTACTTTCACAGGTATTATCCATGTGGGATGACACTGCAATGGTGCTACTGAGATAGTAGGTATCCGTGTGGCTTCAGCCTTGCCTGAACTATTCTCTCGATTTATCGGTATTTTAATCCCTACGTGTTTTCCTGTATCATCGCCTTCTTCTATCTTGCCCTTCTGAGAGAGTGTGAAACCAGTAGATCGTGGTGTAGCTCCCTCAGTCGGCTTACTATGGGCCAGGCTACCGACTCTTTTCCTAGCCCGTCCTAGTTTAACGGTTGCTGACTCCTCTCGGCAGCTCCTGTCCGTTGTGCGCGATTATCCGAGACATTGCCGTATCGCAATCGTCGCGGGCAATCTCTCTGCATGTGTCCCGTTCTCCTGCAAAAATAACATTCTATGTCAGCTATTCTCGCCCTATCCAGTGGAGGCTTTGCCATTCGGCTGAATGGTGCATTCGGCATCCTTTCTCCTGACCTTTGACCTCTTCTTCCAGCTCTAGCTGTATGTTGCTGCCCTTGACCTTCCATGTCCTTCCTGATCTTCACCATTTCCTGTTTTAGGCTTCGCATCCCTTCGTACATCTCTTCCCATCGACTCGACACTGGATCCACTGGCTGCATCGCAGCTCGTACATAAGTGCCTCCACCTGGTGGCTTTTTTCTACGATGTACCGTTTCCCTTGTAACGGCCTCATACTGTGCTACCCGAGTTATAGCCTCGTCTAGCTTGCTTGGTCCTTGCAAGAGTGCGTAGCGTTGTATTTCTACATCTCCTATTCCTTCCAGGTATTTATCTATCAAGATCTGCTCCGTCTGATAACCTATCATGCCAGGGTA